CAAGGCGTGATGGCACAGTAAGAAGTAAACCGTGAAATAGACTGATTACCATACTGTGACCTCACCAAAAATATCAATTACTTGAAGGTGATTAGGTCTAAGTTTGCTTGCTGATTATCTGCTCTTTCAACAGCAACCTAAATGGCTTCCTGTAGTCTTAGCTCCTCACTTCAAAAAAGGCCCTGAGATCACTGAACTCTGGCACTTCCAGTAGGAAACGCCATCAGCACTGGGGCCCCATGTTTTTTGTATCAGCTCATATGCATTCTCTGCTCTGTTTGTTTGCTGATTCTGCAAGTACTTTAATTCTTGTCAGTCCTTGAACTTGAACCATAAACTTGAGGCTATGAAACATCTGACTTCATATACCTTTTTCCAATTAGAAGAGTGATATAAGCCTATTTTGAAGATGATTCAGAAAATTTAAAGAATATAATCACCTGTCCACTTTTGACATTGTATTGGTTCCTCCCAATATAAATTTTTCAATGCTTATCTAAGTATAGTTATTCTTTTTATTCATTTTAATGTGTTTTATTGACTGTATAATTGTCTGTTACATAAAACTAACATCGTTTACTTAAACATGCTTCCATTCTTAAGCATTTAGATTGTTTCTATTTTGCAGATGTAACAGTCAATACAATAATCATTTAAAATTTTTTTTTCAAAATGTTGCATTGTTTCTTTAGGTGGCAGTTTCAAAGTAGAATTGAATAGATCAAAAGCTCTTCATAAAAATAAATTGCCAAACTGATTAAGAAAATCATCTCAGGTTACACTATCATTAACAATGGTAGTGGTTTATACCACTCTACTCAATGCGTATTCCCTGCTTTGAACATTTTGACCATTTTCAGATCAGGAAAAAGAATGAATGTGTGTGTGTATAATAATTTCCTTTGTTTTATAACTCTGAAATTAAACTTGTCAAGAAACATTCAAATATTATTCAATAGCCTTATTTACAAAATGTCATATATATGCTTATTCATTTTCATATCTATGTTCAATGACAGTTTAACTATTCCTGGGTCAGTGTTCTCTTTTCTACTGAGCATTTTATGTACCAAAACACCAATGATTTTTCTATCTTTTGTGTTGTAAATATTTTTCCAGTGGTTCTTTTTCTCTGTTTTTTCTTTTCTAAGAACAATTTTCTGACTTACAGAAGTTTTTAAAACTTTGGAGGTTAAATTAACAATCTCTGATTTTTACTTTTTGATTTTCAATGACAACCTCTTCACTGCATTTGAACTCAATTTTTCTTTTTCCCCAAATATTTAAGCAGTTTTCCCAAAACAGTTTTTGTATAACTTTTTCTTTCTTACTGATATATGATGAGTTATTTCATTGTGGATGATTTTAGCTAAGTTCTTATAAACAACTTAACCTAATTACAAATAAGTTTAATTATTAATCAAGAACTAAAGACAATTAAAGTTTGTGGGTATTCTGGCTACAATAGTCAGTTCAGTTCAGTTCAGTTCAGTCGCTCAGTCATGTCTGACTCATTGTGACCCCATGAACTGCAGCACGCCAGGCCTCCCTGTCCATCACCAACTCCTGGAGTCCACCCAAACTCATGTCCATTCAGTCGGTGATGCCATCCAACCATCTCATCCTCTGTCGTACCCTTCTCTTCCCGCCCCCAATCTTTCCCAGCATCAGGGTCTTTTCAAATGAGTCAGTTCTTCGCATCACGTGGCCAAAATATTGGAGTTTCAGCTTCAGCATCAGTCCTTCCAATGAACACCCAGGACTGATTTCCTTTAGGTTGGACTGGTTGGATCTCCTTGCAGTCCAAGGGACTCCCAAGAGTCTTCTCCAACACCAGTTCGAAAGCATCAATTCTTCAGTGCTCAGCTTTCTTTATAGTCCAACTCTCACATCCACACATGACTACTGGAAAAACCAAAGCCTCGACTAGACAGGACTTTGTTGACAAAGTAATGTCTCTGTTTTTTAATATGCCATCTAGGTTGGTCATAATTTTCCTTCCAAGAGGAGTAAGTGTCTTTTAATTTCATGGCTGGAATCACCATCTGCAGTGATTTTGGAGCCCAAAAAAATGAAGTCTGACACTGTTTTCCCATCTATTTCCCATGAAGTGATGGGACCGGATGCCATGATCTTAGTTTTCTGAATGTTTACCTTTAAGCCAATTTTTTCACTCTCCTCTTTCACTTTCATCAAGAGGCTCTTTAGTTCTTCTTCACTTTCTGCCATAAGAGTGGTGTCATCTGCATGTCTGAGGTTATTGATATTTCTCCTGGCAATCTTGATTCCAGCTTGTGCTTCTTCCTGCCCAGCATTTCTCATGATATACTCTACATATAAGTTAAATAAACAGGGTGACAATATACAGCCCTGACGTACTCCTTTTCCTATTTGGAACCAGTCTGTTGTTCCATGTCCAGTTCTAAATGTTGCTTCCTGACCTGCATAAAGGTTTCTCAAGAGGCAGGTCAGGTGGTCTGGTATTCCCATCTCTTTAAGAATGTGCCAGAGTTTGTTGTGGTCCACACAGTCAGAGAGAATTCTATACACCCTACTAGAAACTTCATCATAGTAAAGGTTTTCAGATTGTCATTTCGGTTCTCTTGATAGGAACCGCTAATCCTGCATCTCCTTGTGTGGCTATACCTTCAGTATATCACCTGGTTTGGGGTTGATTGGAAACTGAAGTCCCCATGAAAAACGAACCTAGAGGGGCTTCCCTGGTGGTGTGGTGGTTAAGGATCTGCCAGCCAGTGCAGGGGACACCGGTTCAGTCTCTGTTCAGGGAAGATTCCACATGTCTTGAGGCAGCTAAGTCCCTATGCCACAACTACTGAGCCCGCACTCTGGAGCCCCTCCTCTGCAATGACCAGTGACTTCTGTTTGCCTCACCTGGAGAAACCCTGCACACAGCAACGAAGACCCAGACCAGCCAAAAATAGATAAATAATAAACAAATAGACTTCTAAAAGAACAAAAAAATGCATCCTTAAAAAAGAACAAGAATATATTAAAAACCTAGAACCTTTGTGAACATTATTACAACAGGTGCTGCTCCTCCTAAAACCACCCCCTCCCAGAGTCATTCAAGAAGCCAAATCTGACACAGTGGCATCCTGAGAGGAAGTAGAAGGGCAATTACATGTGTTACTATTATGAGATTCTATTCAGACATTCATACCCACAAAGTTTAGTATGAAAGCTGAAGAACAGTAGTATAGACACCTAACTATGTATCTACTGCCCAGCATAGTAGATCAAAATCACAAATACAACTGAAGACCCATTAAACACTTCCAATATAATATCTCCAACCCCTTGAAAGGCCATAAGACTCTAAGCTATCTATTTATCATTCACTTGTTTTTCTTCATAATAAGACTCCAGATCTGAAACATAATTGGTAAAGGTATCAAACTGTATGCTTCTGGACTTGTATTTATTTATTTATTCATTCATTCATTTTTGTTAAGATAAAGAGTTCTTCTATGAACGTCTCATCCATGTTTTTTGGCACTTTATCTGTCTATCTATCTATCTATCTATAAAGATACCCTAATGCGTGTCTAGGAGAGGAGTTGATATGTTACAGGGTATGCACACATTTTCCTTAGTGTTTTTACTATTCTACTATTCATACACAAGACGTGTTTGAGAGTGTCCATTGTTCTAGATCACTGTCAAGGCTTAAGATTTTCAGATATTTTCATTCAAAAGTCTACAAATAATAAATGCTGAAGATAGTGTGGAGAAAAGGGAAACTTCTTACACTGTTGTTGAGAATATAAATTTGTGCAACTATTATGGAAAACAGTACAGAACTTCCTCAGAAAACTAAAAATTAACTTGGAATATCATCCAGCAATCCCACTTTGTCTTGGGCATATAGCCAGACAAAAGTCTAATTCTAAAAGAAACATGCACCCCTATGTTCACTGCAGCACTACTTGTAAGTGCCATGACGTGGAAACAACTTAAATGATAAAGAAGATACGGAATATTACTCAGTTGTAAAAAAGAAAGAAACAATGCCATTTGCAACAACATGGATGGACCTAGAGATTATCATACTAAGCAAAGTAAGTCAGAAAGAGAAACACAAATGCTGTCTCGTATCACATCTGTGGAATCTAAAATCCTATACAAATGAACATATCCACCAAATAGAAACAGACTCACAGACATAGAGAACAGACTGTGGTTGCCTAGGGGGAGGGGTAGGGAAGGATTAAGAGTTTGGGACCAGCAGATGCCAACTATTAAATATAGGATGGGTAAAAAACAAGGTCCTACTGTATAGCGCAAGGGAATATATTCAATATGTCAATATGTGTGATAAAGCATGATGAAAAAGAATATATATGTACATAATTCCATCACTTTGGTGTACAGCAGAAATTAACACAACACTGTAAATCAACTATACTTTCATAAAAGTCTTTTTCTTTTCTTTTTTCTTTTTTTTTTTGCTTTCTTTTGTTTTATACTTTCATAAATATCTTTAAAAAGCTTTTCAGACTTTTAAAAAATATTTTCCAGTCTGGTGGGTATAAACTGCTTCAGTGTGACTTTAATTGGTACTTTACCGGTGGTGAGGCTGAATGTCTTGAATGAGGCAATATTGCCCATTTGTGCTTTCTCACAGCATGAGGCAGGGCACGCTCTGTGACCGGGAGATCTGGGAAGTGGACCGGAACAGGGTGACTCAGTTTCCTAAGAGATGCTGGGAAATGTCCTAAGTCACTCTGAATGAACACATTCAGAACAAACACAATCAGAAAAAGCACATTCAGAATCATCTTAATAAGATGATTCTTATTAAGAATTACGGCAATTTGGTGACTCACAACAATTTACCATTCCCTGCAATTATGTCCCAGCCTGAGAATCCTTCATAAGAACTGTGAACTAAGCCAGAGATAGACAGCTCCTCCCTCCTAAAGGATGACAGTGTATGGTTTGCAGAAAGAAAATGTGGAGATGTGTGGCCTAGGGTTTACCTAAACAAGGAATTTTACTGGCAAGGAATGCATAGACTGATTCCTTCTGGCGCCTGTGGGGAAGAATCCATCTCACCATCTTCAGTTTCTGAAGGCCGCCTGCATTCCTTGACCTGTGGCCCCCTCCCCACCTGTTACTCTCATCACATCTCTTACTACCTGATTCTCTTCCAACCCTCTTAAAAGGACCCTCGTGACTACATTGGGTACCAATCCAAGCTAAGCTTCTCAGCCCAAGATCCTTCACTTTGGGGCTGTGCCAGATCTCAGCTGCAGCAGGCGGGATCTTTGCCTTTGATTTTTGATGCAGCATGCAGGATCTAGTTCCCTGACCGGGGATCAAACCTGGGCCCCCTTCATCAGGAGTGTGGAGGCCTAGCCACTGGACGACCAGGGAAGTCTCCCAAGATCCTTCAGTTCATCACATCTGCAAAGTCTCCCTGGCACGCAAGGTAACATTCACAGGTTCCAGGGAGTAAAATGTGGGCATTTTGAGAGAAGTCATTCCTCAGCCTCCCACAAGAGGCACTGACAGTTCACTACCAGACAAGGGAAAAGAAACTAATGCTTTGTGGGTCAAAAGAATTTGCATCTGGACTTGGTGTAGGTGAATGCAAGCCTGGGTATCTTCAACAACAAAAATATGGGATCACCCACTTTTAGGACTACTGGTGCTCTTCTGTACATTTCCCCAGGATCCTGTGCTTGCAGCCTTTATCACGCATAAAGTAGTCAGTTCATCCTCTTATATTGTCCTTTGACTTCTCAGCATTTAGCACAACACTGGACACGTAGGAAATATCCCCCAAGTATTTGTATAATAAAATGAATAACATTAGAAGTATCTCCCATTAAAAGATAAAGCTTAGCATGCTGCTGCTGCTGCTAAGTCGCTTCAGTCGTGTCCAACTCTGTGCGACCCCATAGACGGCAGCCCACCAGGCTCCCCCGTCACTGGGATTCTCCAGGCAAGAACACTGGAGTGGGTTGCCATTTTCTTTTCCAATGCCTGAACGTGAAAAGTGAAAGTGAAGGCGCTCAGTCGTGTCCAACTCTTAGCACCCCATAGACTGCAGCCCAGCAGGCTCCTCCGTCCATGGGATTCTCCAGGCAAGAGCACTGGGGTGGGTTGTCATTGCCTTCTCCAAAGCTTAGCATAATGCCCTAGAATATTAGCATTCACTTAACACGTACTGATTACTCTAGTGAACCAGAAAGATTTCTTCTGGGGACAGAAAAATCCCATTTAAGGTAGACACTATCCATTCATTGTTAAATACATACATCTTTGCTCACTGGTCCCTCAATGCTTATAACATAATGCCCTATTTTTCCATTCATTATGCAGTAATTGACAGCCATCATAAAAATATTTAAGTAAGTGTCTACTGCCTTTTGAAAAATAAATTTAGGTGGCTTAGAAAGTATTTAAATGGGATTAGGAACTTATTATAAATTAATAGTGAGGTGCGTCAGTATGAAATATACTAAATAGCCTTTTGCCAAAGATGTCACCTTTGGAGCTTTGGCAACTTAACTAGATCAGAGAAACTCAAGCAAGTTGACATTAAATTCTTTTTTATTTCCTTATGAAATAAATGTGTCTGGAAAAAGCTTTGGACCCCACTGAATGCTCCCCCATCTCTATGTAATGTGTTCACTTGGCTTCCAGGGCACCTCTCTTCTTAGCTATCCTTTTATGTCATGAGACAGCAACCCTTCCTGAGAAGATCTCTTCATCTCTCCAGCTCCCAGTTGCTGGAATCCAGGGCTCTGTTTGTGGACCTCTTCCCATCTTTACCCTCACGTCCTTGGTGAGCTCATCCAGTCTATAATCCTAAGTGCTGTCGACTAAGAGCTGATGACTCCTAAATTTCTATCGGTATCCTGGAATTATCTTCTGAACTCCAGACACATACAGCTGCCTATGCAACATTTTCACTTTAATATCTAACAGATAATTCAAACATATATGCTCAAGAATGATTTCCTTGTTCCTCCTCTCAGTCACCCACCAATTTCAGAAACACTCTTTATAACTTTTGTAGATGTCCTGCATAGAAGGGGTAGACCTCCCTGATTGAAATTTGATCTGGATCTCCAGGCTGATGACACTCCACGAACACCATGAGGATGTGGGGAGATTACTCACATGTGAGGCTTTCTAGGGAGAGGCGGCAGGGTGGCAAGGAGTTCTGAAAGTGGCCTGAGAGAGCAGGGAAGAGAGACATTCTTGACTTTTATTGTGACTAGGGGTGGCTGGGGAGGGGAGCTGGGGTGAGTGACTTTGCGCGCTGCTTGTGACTCTCATGGACTGAGCTTCCCGCCAGCGCCAGGGAAGGGGGCTCCTGAACTTCCATATCGGCTTGCCCAGATGCGGAACAGGGGGAAGAGGGGACAAAGGGCATGGGGCTGGACAGTTATCAGCAGTGAAATGTTACAGAAGAAATCAGAGCCCTTGTTACAGGCCCAAACTCTGTACCCATTGCAGCAAACGGCTCCTCCAGCCTTTCTGCCAAACAACATAAAATCTTTGAAAGTTCTTTCCTTTCTCCTATATCCCACAAGCAACCCATCAGCAAATTCTGATGGTTCTAGCATCAAAACAGACCTTAAATCCTAGCACTTCGCACTACCTCCCCTGTGACCTGGTGAAGCAGTAATCCTGGCTCAAGCCTTATTCAGTTCTCACCTGGGTTATTTTCCTTCTCTCCAAACTAGTCTCCTTCATCTACTCAGGCCTCTTTGCAGACGAGTCACCATCTCAAAATAATTATTTTCATGTCACTGCTCTGCCAGAATTCCTTTGCAAGATTCCCATTTCACTTGGAATAGAAGGTAGTCCTCAGCACAGTGGGCGAAGCCTCATGCAACCTGCCTCCCGCGCCCCTCCCTTACCGCGTCTCCTGCCATCTCTCTGACTCCCTCTGCTGTGGGCACACTGGCCCACACTGGCCCTCTGCTGTGGGCAAACTGGCCTTTGGACTCTGGTCAGACAGAGACAGCTGGGGACTGCAGGAGTCAGAACTGTAGCTGAAGTGATGGCAACTGAGACAGTGGACTCGGTTTCAACTACGGCAACTGGTACAAAAATCATTTGATTCCGGTTGTCCAGGTGCAGAGGAGGTGATGGTTGGGTGGTGGATCAGTTTGGCAGTGGTGGCATGCTTCAAGAAGTATAGTTAGCAGACCATGTCCACTGTTGGTCAGCCAGTGTGGTTGGGACTGTAATTGTCCCAGATTTAGTTGTACTGTTGACCGTCACAGGTCCGTATGTCACGGTAGGCTTCGCTGGTGACAGGTTTCTATGTGAGTGCTGTCTTGATCGTGGCAATGGTCATCATAAAATCACCTGCTTTAATGGATGTCTCCATCAGCAGTCACGGGTGAAACTAAAATAGCAGATCATTTAATGGTGCCAGAGAGACAAGAGGCAGTTGCTTCCAAACATGTGTGTTTTAATGAGACAAAGTAATGTTTTGCCAGGGATGATGGGGAACTAGAATATTCACCTTCCCCTTTCTCCCCACTGCTACTCCAGTCTACCCCAAACAGGCTACAGATGATACCAAGTAAAAGGAAATAGCCACTAAAGGATACAAAGGGAAGCATTGTCCTATGGAAAAGATAACATTGGTTGAGGCAGAAAGGTTACAGAGTCACTGTTGAAAGAGTGAAAAGGTGGGAGAGTCTGTGTTGTGATGGGAATTCCGTAGGGCGCAGGGGGGATGAGCAGGAAGAAGGGAAAGAGTTGAAGGGTGAATTAGGACAGAGGAAATGGAAAGGAAGAAGGGGGTGCAAGTCAGCCCAAGGCTTGGTGATGAGAAGGGCTGACTTACCCCTGAGTCACTGGCCAGGCAGAATTGCACCTCTGCTGGTTACAAGGGGCGTCTTAGTGAAAGCAGTTTTAGGGCCTTACAAGCCAAGGCCTGAGATCTCAGGGTTCCCGATGGTGAGACGTTGACGGGAATGAATCAGCTCTAAAGCAGCCTGCTCAGCAAACATTGGTAACCACGCGCTGTGAGCCTGGCCCTAGGCTAAGCACTGGGGATTAGGTGTTTGTACAGCTCAGCTTGAGAACACTAAGACGATTCACTCACAGTCCCAACACGCTCAACAAAGGCAACTGCCGACCTCCCTAAACTTTGGTTTCATTCCCCATCTACAGAGATTCTTCAATTTTCCCAAGGGTGGAAACTCTGCAAAACAGAGTTTTGTTATTTTGTAAAAGCAAAACCAAAAATCTCAGGCTTTCTCAGCCTGCCTGATTTGCAGACTCTGACTGCCCTGTTGGAGATCTGATTTCTCCAAAAGAGTCTGGGGAAAAGGGTCCAAAATGAAAAAAGAAGAAGGCTATGGAGCATCCACTGACAAGACTCTGCTGAGGGAACAGCTTTTCTCACATCATCTTATTTTTAACTCTTAGAGAACAGGACTTTCCGTTTCAACTCCAGGATCTTTCCTAAGTGGTTTATATGAGGATTGCAGGCACGGTTCCACTCTGCTACTCCTGCAGAGGAAAATCTAGAAAAATCAGGGGTGTTTTAGGACATATACCATTTGTGACACTATTTATAATAAGCAAATGGTAATTAGCCAGTTGTTTCTTTTTTTTTTTTTAAGCCTGTTGTTTCTTAAGACATTTTCTGTTTAGGCTGCAGAAATTATGTTCAGTTTGAGACTATGATCTAAGAACTCTGGCTGAGATCTGAAGAACTGTCTAGAAATTGTTCTCTGAGATCATGCTTCAAACACAATTGCCTGGCTATATGTGCGTAGTTAATATTGTGGCAAAGTGACACTGACTCTGTATCGGCAGAAACTGGCCACGCAAATGGTTAAAATAGGAGAACAATGTCATAAGATATCTAAATCTTAGATGAAATGAAACTTTCACACAATGAAAGTTTCATATACTAGAAATGTCTTTCCCTATGAAATTATGCCTATCAATCATAATATAAGTGAAACAAAAACTGTGGCAGACTTACTGACTTAGCAATAGATATTTAGGTATTTCATGACAGGTGGAAAGCTCAAGTATAAATGCAAGAAGTAGAAATGTTATTTCTACTATTC